GGACTACTTCATGGGAATTCAGTGTATCACAAAATTTGTCCAGTTTTTTCCAATGTAGCGAACGAGTGATATTCACATTGTGAACACGGGAGTGCATGTACACATGGGAATTGAAGTATTTAGCTCACATTCTGTTCTGTTTGTCTCTTATCATGAAAGGCTAGCTCTCTGACCTGAAATCCGTGAGTGGAAATCATTTTCAACGTTACATGCTCTGAGGCTTGCAATATATATCATTTTCATGGCTGTTGGATGGTGTAACACGTGTGATGGGATAGTGTATATATTTACAACTCATTGTAAATCACTCAGTGGAGTGTGTGCGTGCACTCTGTTAGCATTCTGTGTCAGGCTTTGGCACAGGATGTGCATTTGGAAGGCACGTTATTTAATTGTTCTGTCTATGCCTGGGACATCTATTTGTCAAAAGACTAATACTGTTCTGCTCGGTTACTGATAATGTGAATGCTTTCTTACATATCTGTGCTCATTATCTACGACACGTATGGTTGGTGTAACTATGTAACAGCATGAACTATTTTTTCACCTTGACAGTAACTTTAAAAACATGCTTACTAAATGTAGATTTACTGCAGTTCTTTTGTGTCTATTTCAGATGAAACTTCAGTCTATTCATTTCCAAAAATGTTGTAAATGTCAATAGGCTACAAATGGTGAAATTTTTTGAAACGGGGAGGTGTGTATTGAGAAACCAGACAAAAAAAAACTATTTGTATTTTGTTGGTTGTGTTTGACTGTTGGCTTGAATGCATATCACTGGAAATTGAGTTCAATGTGTCTCTGACTCAATCTGCTCTGTGCCTGTGGAAAGGGTGTTCTCGACTCGGACAGTGGTAACATACCTGCTGTTTATTAGAAGCAGCTGGTCACCCTTGGCTTTGTACTGAGCAAATATTACACTGTCTTGTTCCTGCAAGAAGACAGAAGAGTTAACTCCTGTAAATCAACATCAGCCAAGTTTGACAATGTCAAACAGATTAATGTAATATTCAGTTAATAATTATTCGGATGTTTCTTTTCTTTAACTTCTTCTGATGAAGAGCAGAGCTCGAAAAACCTGTCATCTTAAATGAACCTGTTGGATGATGACAGTGTCATGAGACTTCTGTCTTTTCTTTAAAGTCATCAATTCAAACACAGGTCTGATTCCATTTTAACCTTGAGCTGCTCCTTGTCCAAGGATCATTCTTTTTTAAATATATATACTTCGATAACAATTGAGTGAGATCCAGAAATGGAATTACAATTGCACAGCTCCACGCAAGGTGCTACCCGAAGCTACTGCAATGTCTGCGCAGTTCATGTTAACAAATCCCAATGCACTAACTGTTGAATATGTTGACTTCAATCCATGTCCTTTACAGGGTTCTTATATTTCCACAGTCTTGTCTGTGTTTCGACTTTGACTGCACAATGTCAACAAACAGTGTGAAACAGGAGCCAAACAATGAATTTCCATCAGTGTTTAGAGATTTGAAAACTACAAGAATGGCCCCCAGCAGCTTCTTGCCGCTGTGTCTCCCTCAACAGGCCCACACACAGCCCGAGTGTGTTTGTGGAGCTGCAGTGGGGTAAGCCATCACATTCCTGAATTGATCACATTATGCGTTGGACAGGAACTAGGGAATCAGGATGCCAGTTACTCACAGTAGGATTCCCAGCCTCTGACCTGTCCTTGCAGCATCTGTATTTTTGTGCAAGTTCGGTTACAGTGTCATAGCTTGTTAGAGTGAAACAGCATGGAAATAGACACTTTGATCCAACTTGTCTGCGCTAGATTGGCATGCCAATCTGACCTTGTCCCATCTGCCAGCCTTTGGCACAGATCCCTCTAAAGCCCTCCTGTTCATGTACCCATCCAGATGGCGTTTAAATGTTATAATTGTACCCGACACGAGGAGTTCCTTTGGCAGCTGTTTCCATACATGCACCACATCCTGCACGAAAGAAATGCCCCTCAGGTCTTTTTTAATGCTACTTTCCCAGTTCTGAACAAAGGTCACCGGATCTGAAACGTTAACTCCGATTTCTCTGCACTGCCAGACTTGCTGAGCTTTTCCAGAAACTTCTGCTTTTGTTTGTTATTTTTGTCCTCCTCAGTCACTGATAACATCAAAAGTTTCCATCTATGTCTGAACTCAATATCTACTCCATATACGGTTATTGTAATGATGTAAAATGTTGATCTATTTGTATACCTTGATTGTAACTTTGAAAATGCCCTTACTTAATGTGAATTCATACAGTTATTGAATTGTGAAGAAGATTCAATCTATCCCTCTTCAAATGTTGTGAATGACGATAGGCTTTCAAAGATGAACTTTACTGGAACCAGGCTGGTTTATCTCGAGAATAGAGAAAAGAAAGATATATTTGTATTTTGTTGGTGGTATTTGACCCTTGGATTGATTGTATATCCCTGGACATTGAATCAGACTCGCATTGAGCTCAATCAGCTGTGACTGAAAACATGTTCTCCGCTCTGACATTGGTAACATACCTGCTGTTTGGTCAGAGCAGCTGGTCACACTTGGTGATGTACCGAGGAAATATTACATTGTCTTGGCCCATCAAATACGTGCCCGGAAATAGAAGAGATATCTGCTGTAAATCAGCATCAACCGAGATTGAAAATATCAAACTGATCGATGCAATATTCAGTTAATGTGAATGATGATTCCTTGTTTTAAAGCCAGCAATTTGAACAGAGCAGGATCTGGTTACATAATTACTCTGAGCTTCTCCTCGTCCCGTTCTTTTTGCGAAATTCAAAAAATAACAAACAATCACAAAATATAAAAAAAAAACCAACACCTGTACAGCTTCATGAATGGAACGCTTACACAGTTCAATATCCAGCTCCCAATTCACGAACTGTTGAAAGGAAGGACAACGATCACATTTTCGAATATTTTACTTGAGACTATTAACCCGGTTACTGCTATATTTATCACTTACATAACTATCACATTTGCATATAATGACTTTTCTATCCCACGATTCAATGCCAATTCGCAAAAAAAAAACAGCGTGAAACAGAAGCTAAACAATGATTTTCCATCAGTGTTTCGTGGATGAAAAACCACAAGAATGACCCCC